TCTTCTCCAAGTGGCCTCACCTAGCAGAAAGGTCAAGAGTGTTGAGATTTGGGCAGGCACACAAATCCAACCCATATCAATAGTTAATGGTGAAAGAATGGTTGCTTTCCTCCTAAGATCAATAATAAAACAAGAATATCCTGTCCACTATGTCTATTCAATACAGCTAAGATAATTAAAGCAATAAAGTATATTCAGATTGGAAAGAAAGAAGTAAAGCTATATTCACAGAAGACATGATCTTTTATAAAATAAAAAAAAAATTCTAAAGAATCCACTAAAGAGTTATTAGAACTAGTAAGTTCAGCAAGGATAAAGGATCTAACACCAGTATACAAGTCAATTATATTTCTAAACCCTTGCAATAACAAATCCAGAAATGAAATTAAGGAAACAATTCCATTTGTAACAGCTTTAAAGGAACAAAATAGCAAATTTAACAAAAGAAGTGCAAATCAAACATTGATGAAAGAAATTAAAAATCTAAATAAATGTGGTAAAGTTCATGGATTAGAGATTTAATATAACTCAATGATTATATTTCCAAACTGATTTTTAGATTCAGCACAATCTCTAAATGACTTCTTTGTAGAGATTTGCAAACTGATTGTACATTTATAAGGAAACTGAAGGGACACAGACTATGCAAACAATAGTAGCCTACCATAGTAACCTATCCCCAAATATTTCAAACAAGCTCATACAGTAGACAAGTTCTTGGCAAAACTGGAGCACTTTATTATCAGCCTACATTTTCCAGTTTGCTATTTTTCCTTGTCTCCTAACTGCTGTCTTTTCATTCATATTTTTCTTTGGCATTCTGAACTTGAACTATGAGATTTCCATGCCTCTATTTAGCAGGAGCTTATAGTACAGTATGAAAGTAGGGGGAGAAATCCAATAGAAGGACAATAACAATAGATAACATTATGTGGCGTCTTACGGCTATAAAGCACTTAATGGCGAAGTGCCTCATGCCTATAATCCCAGCACTTTGGGAGGCTGAGGTGAGTGGATCACCTGAGGTCAGGAGTTTGAGACTAGGCTGGCCAACATGGTGAAACCCCGTCTTTACTAAAAATACAAAAATTAGCCTGGCATGGTGGCAGGTGCCTGTAATCCCAGCTACTCAGGAGGCTGAGGCAGAATCGCTTGAACCCGGGAGGCAGAGGTTGCAGTGAGCTGAGCACCCTACTGCACTCCAGCCTGGGCAACAAGAGCAAAACTTGGTCTCAAATAAATAAATAAAGCACTTTAACATTTTAAAATCTCATTTGAAAAACTGGAAAAACTGAATTTGGAATTGGGAGATTTGTTTTGGGTCCCCACTCTGCCATTTCCAAACTCAGTACTCTATCAGAACTAAGTCCCAGAGTGCTTGAGGGCTAAGAAACTTTCATCCTGCAGACAAGAAGGAACTGTTATACACAGCCTTTGACCCTCTAGGGACTCCAGCAACCCAGTACTAAAACCTGGCACTAAAAGGAGACTCCTCCAGGTGCAGTGGCTCACACCTGTCATCCCAGCACTTTGGGAGGCTGAAGTGGACGGATGACCTGAGGTCCGGAGTTCGAGACCAGCCTAACCAACATGGAGAAACCCCTTCTCTACTAAAAATACAAAAAAATTAGCTGGACATGGTGGCATATGCCTGTAATCCCTGCTACTCGAGGGGCTGAGGCAGGAGAATCGCTTGAACCCGGGAGGCAGAGGTTGTGGTGGGCCAAGATCATGCCATTGTTCTCCAGCCTGGGCAACAAGAGCAAAACTCCACCTCAAAACAAAAAGAAAGAAAGAAAGAAAACATAAAAGGAGACTCCTTGTCTCCTTCTCTGGGGACCCTTTTGTTTAGAAATAAAACTTTATCATCATGCTGCAGGTGCCTTGGAGAGAGGACATGCAGGTGACCTTTTCTAGAAAGCAGTGGAGTGAAAGTTTTGGGAAAGTGACAGAAAGAGAAACAAATCCTGAATTTACTGGAAGCTCATTAAAAATCAACTAAGTAAACAAAGATTTTAGTACCTCAACTGAAATATAAGCATAAACAAAGGTTGACTATGACTGTACCTGGACAGGATGAGTAAGAAGGTAAAGTAGTCTGTTAACATCTATTTCTGCATTTTGGTCCTGGCTCTGCCTGACACAGTTGTGTCTCCAGCAATTAACAAATGTCCCTCTTTCTTTCAGCAAGTATCTATTAAGTGGCTAACATGTGCCAGACTCTACAGAACAGGCTTACAGGCATACCACAATGAAATAGAAATCTAACAGGCTCCAAGATCAGGCTTTTCAAACAAACGTACCATAACTTATATATCACATATACATCTGGCACACAGGCACCAGAACATGAGATTAAACATGTTAAAGGACTGTTTATCTAAATATTTTTAAAAGAAAAATAAAACAAAAACTGGAAACCAAATGACACCAACAGAATATATAATTTAGTTGTGACATATTCATGTCATGGAAATGAACTACAGTGTCACACATCAACATGGATGAATCCAAAAATAATGAGCAAAAGTAGTCATATACAGTATAATTCTATTTGTATAAAGGCTATAAATAAGCAACTATTGGGGATACATAGTAAAAATCTATAAAAGCTAGGTGACAATTATACAAAACTCAGGATGGTGGTTGCCTCTAGGGGTGGGAGATGGAGATATGAATGGGGAGAGCATACTAGGCTCCTGGGATGTAGTAATATTCCATTTCTCAGTCTGAGCAATGGGCACCTGGACATTTATTATTGTTCTTCTAAATAAACATTTTCATTTGTATATCCTATTTCACAATAAAAAGAAAAAAGACCCAAAAAAAAGCATTAAGTGTGACTAAAGATTTAAGCAATAGTGCTTGGGAATATTATCGTATCATGCAGACACAGTGCAGGGAAATGAAAAGGTGGATATAATTTGTGAGGTAGAGATGATGGGTTCAGGTTTGCACAAACTGAGCTCCTGAAACACAGACTTTTATTCTTAGTCATATTAGGTATGAAATTGCCCTCAGGTCACCAGTTGCTTTTATGCTAGATTTGGAGGGGAAGAAGAGGAGTTGTGCAATTTATGTGTCCAGCTCTGAAAATCTTCATTGTAAACAATTACTAATAGGTCATATGTTAGGTTACTTTTCAGCCCCAGTCAGTTCAAAGGATTTGTCATTACCCTACTGATTTGCACTTCTAAGTCTTCTGCCTGTTGCATTCTGGTGATCCATTTCTAAGCAAGATATAGAATCTAAAGCTAAGACATAGTGATAGAAGGCCAGAGAACAGACACAGCAACAAAGTTTGCATGACGCAAATCAGGAGGGTAGGAATGAGATTTTGATAGGCATCCTGGCCAAATTCCAGAACTAGCAAAGAGAGGGCCAGTTCCTAATTCCAATCAAAGCAAATTTAGCCCTCATATTTTCACACAGAAGTGGTCTACCTTGATTTTTAAATCTCTTGAAGGGATTAGGGAGCCTCTGAAATATAAAGAAAACTAAACTGATAGTAATGTAAAATGAATAGTGACCTATCATACCAGCAAACACTGTCAAAAACAGAAAGATACTGGTGGGACCGGCCAGAGTCTAGAACACAGGAGTTATGTTTATCCAGTGCCATACTGTACAACAGAGCAGTCACTTGCCACATGTGGCAACTTAAATTTAAATGAAATTCAATTAAGCATTCCATTCCACAGCTGCACTAGCCACATTTTAAATGCCTCAATACCCACATGTAGCGAGGACTACTGTACTGAAGAGCAGAGACATAGAACATTTCTGTCATAACTGAAAGTTCTATTGAACAGTGGCTGACCTCACAATATCCAGGGTAAAAGGTGTTCTGCTAGTAAAGCAAGGTGGACATCAGAATTATCACAACTTAAGCATAATGTTCCTGATGACATCCATTTCCATTTATTTGCATCTCTGCTTACCAACTCCGGATTCCTGCTTTTCCAACTTTCTGGTATGTTGGAAGAGAATAACTGATTAGAAAACATAAATTTCATTCGTTTTACAAGTGTAATTCTCACTTAAATTTATAAATTTCCTTTCTGATTTATCAATGAGTGCTGAAGGCCCGAGTTTGAGAAAGGCTAAGTTTGATTACCCCTGAGTGGATCCAAACATTAGGAAGGTCTTGCTTAAGTGGGTGATAGAAAGTAACAAAAAGAGCTGGAAGGAACATGAGAGACTGTTACACTCCCTTCTCTAACCTTTCTCCTTTTCACCTTGCTCACCTGAGCCAGGTTAGAATCCGTCCTTTGTACAGCACCCTGTACCTTTCTATTGCAACCTTTACTACATTATGTTTGTAGAGTGATCTATGCCATTAGTTGAAAACTAGTCAAGGGCAGAGACTTCTCTCTTTATTCACCTTCAGTAACTAATACAACACCTACGAGGAAGCCTGTAGGAGGCTCTCTAAGTTTCTCATACAAATAAATTGTACGGGGCAAGTTACATTTTTAGGACCTGGCCAGTAGTTCTCTGATGAAGGTATGATATTAAAGACAATATAGTAAACAATAGCAAACTCATCAAAATAACCCTTGGAGGGCTGGGGAGCAGGGAGAATAAAAGAAGCAGTTTAGAACAGCTCTTTATTCACCATCATCGCCCAACCCCAGTCTTCCCAACTGGGGATACTAACAGTTATGAAACAACTAATATATACCTACACTTCACAAAAACAATAGTCCTTCCAAAATGCTAGCAAATATTACTATTGCCACTTTAAAGATGAGGACACTGAGGCTGGGCACTGTGGCTCATGCCTGTAATCCCAGCACTTTGGGAGGCCAATGTGGGTGGATCACCTGAGGTCAGGAGTTTGAGACCAGCTTGGCCAACATGGTGAAACCCCATCTTTACTAAAAATACAAAAATTAGCCTGGCGTGGTGGCATATGCCTGTAATCCCAGCTACTCGGGAACCTGAGGCAGGAGAATCCATTGAAACTGGGAGGTAGAGGTTGCAGTGAGCTGAGATCACACCACTGCACTCCAGCCTGGGTGACACAGTGAGACTCCATCTCAAAAATAAATAAATAAATAAATAAAAGGGGGGGGTGCTGAACATTAGAAAGGATATGCAACTTGAACAAATGCAAATCAACTAAAAATAGTTAAGCTAATTTTCAAGTCCAGAACTATCTTATATATCTGATACAAACGGGAATATCCACTGAACCCCAGGAAGAAATAAGAATGAGCATTAAAAAAAAAAAAAAAAAAAAAAAAAAAAAAAGGTTCACATAAGAGAGATAATTTTATCATAACAGCATTGAAACTTTAATCTCTTATTTTTCCCATTTGACTTCTTAAAAAGGGTGGCATGGTCAAGAATTCTCTTTGATATGGTTTCAAAATTGTATTCACTTTCTCTCCATCCTGAGACTTTTCCATAAGAATATTCACCTTAATCCGACTTCTACTGCATGGCTGAAAAAGAGGATACGCAATAACTCTTTCCAACTCCTTTACCTCTTTCTTTACTCTCTCATGCTTCTCATATGTAGGTAGTTGGCTCTGGCTTCTTCTCAAGATTCTTTCCTTGAGTCTTTGCTCTGTAAGTGCTCTCCCTCGAATCATACGTTCCTGGTGATCCTTAATTTGCATCTGTTCCCTCTCATTTACCTGCTTTCTTCTCTGTGCATTCTGGATGCCATGCCCTTCTGGCATAATTTTTGGTAATTTTGTTTCACTGGGGAGTTGTAGTACTTGTCTAAATGATTTGTTCTTAGATTTTCTAGCCTGTCCTGTACAATGTATGTGCCTTTCTATGTGTTTCATCTCTCTCTCAGGTACCAAACAGTACTGTTTTAGTCCTTCTGTGCTTTGGGTTGTTTTCCCCTTCATTTTTTTCTTGATTTCATTGCCGGTCTCTTCTTTCATCATTTCCAGTATTCTTTTATGATAAAAAGACTCTGCTTTGGCAAGCCAGTAGTCAAGAGAAAGAGCTTGCTCCCTACAGAGTATTTCATACTCATCTTGATATTTCTGAGTTATCAACCGTCTTGCTGCTGTTGTATGCACACCACCCAGATTCTGTCAAAGTGAAGTCAGGAATTTATAAAGTGATCATCTTTTTCCTTTGAGAACACATTTAAACAAGATCCGAGCCCACCCTCCCTACTGACACCAGGAAAAGCTAGATGCTTTTTTATTTACTTTAGCTTAATAATTATTATTTTTATTCCCATCACTCCCAGGTTAGCCTGTGAGCTCTGAAAGTATGAAGTATTCACTACCACAAATCAATAACTAGTTTTAAAAATGCATGGTGTTGGAAGTTTTCAAAATGATTCTTTATTTCACAGCTATGGTTATAGCTGGGAAACATTTGCCAGTGTAGACATACTACCAGAATGTGTCACTTGGGCAGAAGGATTTTAAACCTAAGATTCCTCCTCTGTGTAGTTCTAAACTGTATGATATGAAGATAGTTTACTTACCAAGATCATTTTCTCCAGTGGAGACTGCTGACCTGCAGCAATCCTAGGATCTTTAGATGAAGTAGCCCAGGCCAATCTGGAAGATAAAAAAAACAAAGGTAAATTAAAATGTAGGAGGTATCAGAACAAAGCTACTAATAGGCAGGACTAGAGCATTTCCCATTTCCCCCATGGGAAACCAGTGCATTCCTGTGGTGGAAAATAATGAATGCTCTTCTAATAAGAGGATCTCTCCTTTCATATGAACAAGGATACTTTTCCTGTGGACTCAGCGTGAACCACTGTGAATCTTGTATTAGGGATTGTGAATGAGAAGAGACACGCTCCTTGGTGAGGTGTTATCCAAGTACATCTGTGTCAGACTGCTCAGTCCTCAAGCCTCCTCTGTGTTCTGAGATGATTCTAGGTCCTAGTTTTCTAGAGGATTCTAGGTTTCTAGTTTTCTCTTTCTGTAGTTTCTTGATCTGAGCCCTCTCTGCCTATATCAGCACATACAGCATTTCTGCCCTCTAATCTTTTGTTCTGAAATTGTGCTTTTTTTTTTTGAGACAGTCTCGCTCTGTTGCCCAGGCTGGAGTGCAGTGGCGCCATCTTGGCTCATGGCAACCTCCACCTCCCGGGTTCAAGAAATTCTCCTGCCTCAACCTCCCAAGTAACTGGAATTACAGGTGCACACCACCACACCCAGCTAATTTTTTTTGTATTTTAGTAGAGATGGGGTTTCCCCATGTTGCCCAAGCTGGTCTCTAACTCCTGGGCTCAGGCAATCCACCTGCCTCAGCCTCCCAAAGTGCTAGGATTACAGGCGTGAGCCACTGTCCCCAGACTGAAATTCTGTTGTTATTTAATTGCCCGGCCCTCTGCTTGCCTGCCTTCCAATGTCAATCATCCTTTACCCTAAATCCATCATAAAACTGTTCCCTGTTGGACTCCTCAGGATGGGAATTTGTGGTTACTCTGGGTTTATTTGTAGAGGAGGCTGATAGCAACACAAATGAAAACTATCAACTTTTATGTGTCATCCCTGGTCTAACCTGAGCGTACTGTGAGGTCATATTTAAGTCACTAAGGATGTCTGGCATTTCCTCTCTGTGCCTTTTATACCATTTACAGTTCAAAGGATGGGCTTTAGAGTCTGACAGGGCTAGATCTGAATCCTAATTCCACCACTTCCTAGGTATGGGACTCAGGGCAAGTAAATTCTGTCAGCTTTCTCATCTATAAAATGGATATGTAAGACAAAAATCTGCCTCTCAGGGTTATAAAGAACAAATATGAATTCAATGTAAAGAGCTTGGTAAGTTCTCAATTAATTCTGTCTATCTGTCCTTCACAGGTCAAGCTCCTGACTATAGTCTTTCTGGTCTACCCCGTCACTGTGATTTTCCCTTCCTCTAAACACTTGATATATTTTATTTCTACAACTCATTTGAAAATTTACCATGACTTACACTGTGATATCTGTATTCATATATCACTTTTAACATTTTGATGCTGAAATTTAGGCTCATAAGGAGTGAAAACTGTAATCTGTATCTACAATTATGATGCCTCTATATTATTGGAAAGGACCTGATATCAAATATTTGGTCTCACTGACCTCTTAGGAACATTCTTATTTGCCTATGTAAGCTTATTTTGGGATTTAAAAAGTGTGATCTTCTTACTTTTACTTCTCTGTACATGGCTTCTAGCACAGTACTTAACATTAGAGTCTGTGATCCCAAGTTCTCAAAATTAATGATTTGTTGATTTCTGATGATCCTTGACACATAATATCTGAACATCTTTTTAAATATTTGCCATAACATTGTATCTATCTTTTTATTAAATCATTTCCCAGTCCTCCTTGAAGTTTACAGACATGTTTCCTTTATATGCATGTTCCGGGCTCTCACATTTTGTACCTACTAGCACACGTTTATTGTTTTCTAATTACTCATTTCATGTTCATTGATGTCAGAGAACACAGATTTCAGCTTTGCAGCCTCAGCTCAAAACCTGGAATAGTTGCTCAATAAACACTTTATTGAATAGATTGTGAGCTTTTGTTGGAAAAAGGATATGCCTTTTAATGCTGTGTTCCTTTACTGAAATTCACAGGGGATGTTGGCTGTTTTTCAAATTAAAAATAGAAAACTGAGAAGGGTGGAAGGCTAATTTCAAGTTCCATTGTCAAAGGAGGCAGACACACAGATAAGTGAGAATAAAAACTGCCTATGACAATCAGCTCAACAGCACATCTCCCTTTGTAAGACGGACAAAATAACAAGCAATTTCACAGTTAAGTGATAGGCCTTGTCACTCTTCAGCAGTTTGTTGAGTTTTAACCCTTTCACTATGGTGTTCTTTCCGTTATTACAGAGAAAGGCAGATGGGGGCCTCTTCCAATGAAAGACTACAGCTTCTGTCCTTCACAGGAGAAAATAGTGATGGCTCCAGAACTTTTAAATGAAAGACCTTAGTACAGCTATCAGAGTGGGTGATGATGGGAGGCCTAGAAGGAAACTAGGAAACAACTACAAGCTGCCCCTTCAGGGAAAGTTTCTAGTTAGAATATAAGTTAAAGATTAATGAAAATAGCAAGATTTTCTCATGTTTTATAAAAGATCAGAGAAATGTCAACTGTCCACTTAACGGATGACAATAATGATTTAAGAGTTCGATAGGCGGCAGGCACAACTAAAAGCCAAACTCGACCTAAGTCTTATGAAATCCTATTTAATGAGCTCCCTGGACTACTGCTAGCCTCATTTATCCAGCAGGAGTCCAAGGAGGGGAAGTCCCAAGCTTTTCTGCTCCACCACCCCCAAAGTCCTGAGCCCCTTCTCAAGTGTCCCACTTCATCCCTGCTTCCTTTCATCCACTGGGACTAGACCCCATAGGGGCCAAGGCAGGAGTCAGAAGCCTCAGCCTATTTCCATATAAATAATAAAGAAGAAAATAACTAGAGATATAACCACAGTAATTATTTATAGGTGACCTTAGTTATTCCTAGGTAATCTTAATTATTCACAGGTGATCTTATTCATAGGTGATCTTAATTCTTTTACTAATGCCTCTCAGGTCTCAGGTCCGGAAGTGAGAACCTGGGGTGACATTGTGAGGGAAATGACCCTAAGGCAAGATGTTCTACAGCCCCGCTACGCCCACATGAGGGCTACTAGGGCTGCCTCGGCTGTGCTACAGTGTTGGTACTGAGAAAATGCCCGCTGTTTAGCCAGCTAGGGAAGGTGGCATCCAAAGATGGCTGAGACGTCTCATTCCCCGGAGGAGTTAAGAGAAAACTCCGCTCCTCCAAGCTCTTGCGGTAGGCCTGACAGCTGTCAGGTAGACCCACAGACATCCGGGGGCTTATTTGTCTCTATGTGATGCTGTGCTTCAGTGGTCACATTCCATGTCCACTTTCATGTTCTACTTCTGCACCAGGTTTCTATTTTCTTAGAAGAGATAATCAGTAAGAGTAACACAAATCTTGGCCGGGCGTGGTGGCTCACGCCTGTAATCCAAGCACTTTGGAGGCCAAGGTGGGCGGATCACCTGAGGTCGGGAGTTCAAGACCAGCCTGACCACATGGTGAAAGACCGTCTTAAAAAAAAAAAAAAGGAATATAAATCTTAATGTCTGTTCTTTCTTAACAAGTATGGAAAAGTGCTGACGCATTAGGCTCCTTGCCTAATCCCGGCTCCTAGAAATTTGTGGGTCCCTACCTGTATGATATGTGATGTACTTCACCCTATCACTGCTATGCCCCATCTACACTTCCCCCGGTCGCTGACCACCAACCACCAATACCACACCTACTTACCCTGTCCCCAGCTTTGTACACAACAAAAGTCAGAATGTGCAGATACGGACGGGGCCACTGCCCGACTCTGCGATCTGGATGGCAGTGAACGCCCCACCCCCCACCCCGCCATCCAGCCCAAACTTTCTGTGTCTTGTGTCTTTTATTTCTGGTTTCTTGTTTCCACACCAACAGAGAGGGGCTCACAGAACCCTGTAGGGCTGGACCCGATACCTCCTGACTCCACCCTCAACACTTGCTGTCCCTCAAGAATCCGACTTACCCCTTATAAGAGGCGAACTGTTCCCAAAGCACACGAGCTTGGTTGCGCTCTGCAGAAAGCCCACGCTCGCCGGCAGGACCCAAGGAACGCTAAAACTTTACGTCCCAGAACACTTAGCTTTCTTTTTAACTACTCTGCAGCCGCAAAAGGGAAATACCGGCTCAGGATCAGGGTAGTTGTAGTTCTCTAATCCAAAGAAATCAGTATTTTTAAATATGATTTACGGCAAAATACGGTTTTCAGGGGGATATCCCCCGGGACTCGGTTTCTGTAGGATGTGAGACAAAGAATAAATATCCCAGGATTGGGTGCTGATGGGAAAATTGGCTGGAAGCGCATCATTGGCTACCAGTTTTGTGCTCAACGTCTCAGCACTAGGGTGAAACTCGTACCGCAAACACCCTTCGGAGAGGTTGGGCTCCATCTCTAAGGCTCCCGAGAAACGGTTCGCAATTAATTATGACGTCACAACCAATCGTCAGCCCGAATGCGTGACACTCTAGCCGGCTCTAGCTCGCTGCTCAGCCGCGGGCGCAGAGCTGCCGCTCTAGCCCACGGAGTTGGCTCGCTCCTCTCGCCGGCCCCAGGAAAGGGTTCCAAGTCCTTTAGTACCCGACGCTAGCTGGTAAGCCATTCCGGGCGTTTCAGCTCCCTGGTCGCAGAGGCAGGAGGCGTGCATGGGAGGAGAGCTCGGGTAATATACCCCCAGGTACTGGGACAGAATAGTTCTGACCTCTGTGTTGGGGGGATTCCTCTCTCTTTTTGTTAATATAACTTCTAACTCCCTCCTCAGACCTGACCGCACGTGCGTCATGGACCTTGCCAGCACTTGCTCCAGCTTTCAGTCGGACTTGGATTTCTGTTCGGAGTGCGGCTCGGTCCTGCCTCTGCCGGGGGCTCAGGATACGGTTACCTGTACCCGCTGTGGCTTCAACATCAACGTTCGGGGTGAGAGGCTTGTACGCAGTGGTCCTGGCGGAGGGCCCAGGGTCGGAAACTTGGGGACCTCAAGATCGGTTGGGTTCGGGAGGGGACCCTAGAGCAGGAGATCTGGCAATTGTACGTTTGGTCTAGAGATGAAAAATGAAGGAAAGGATATAGGGCTTCCTGGCCTAACCAGCCAGGGGAGAGGGGAGGTTTCCGGTGTCAGCTCCCTCTGGTTGTCTCCATAACCAGCTCTTACTTGTCTGTGCAGACTTTGAGGGGAAGGTTGTGAAGACTTCAGTTGTGTTCCACCAGCTGGGGACAGCCATGCCTATGTCGGTGGAGGAAGGGCCTGAGTTCCAGGGACCTGTGGTAAGTTAATGAGCTCAAGGACTGGCTCCATAAGGTGGGTAGGAAAGAAACGGGGAAGTGATTGCAGAGATCTGGAAAGTTGTGTGCCCAATTCCAAGAGGGAAAAGAGATGTAAAGCATTGATGTTTGAGAGGAGTGATCGCCTGATTCCTGTGGGAAGTAAGGGGATATGACCAGGCCTCCGTAACCCACCAGTTTCTTCCCAGGTTGACAGGCGCTGCTCTCGATGTGGTCATGAAGGAATGGCATACCACACCAGACAGATGCGTTCAGCAGATGAGGGGCAAACTGTCTTCTACACCTGTACCAACTGCAAGTGGGCATCCCTTCCTCTCCCTCTGCTCAGTCTGTTTGCTAACTAAACAAATCAGTGATTCTGTTGTTGTTGTTCTAAACCGCTGTTTCCTTTTGTCCCATTTCTGTGCAATTCTGGTAACAGGGAGATTTGTGGGCGTTTTTTATTTTTTAAATTACACTTTTTTAACTTTTTTTTTTTTTTTTTTTTTTTTTTTAGTAGAGATGGGGTTTCTCTATGTTTCCCAGGCTGGTCTTGAACTCCTGAGCTCAAGCGATCCACCCACCTCAGCCTCCCAAAGGGCTGGGATTACAGGCATGAGCTACCTCGCCTGACCTACTTTTAGGATATATAAAAGGAAATCAAAAAACAAACAAACAAAAAACATAAGAAGCAGGTATTGTTTAGTGGTCAGCATCTTATACTGCAGTCTTCAACTGTAGTCAAGATAGCTTTACATTGGAGAGAATTAGTCACGCATGATTTAGGGAACATGGGCTTTCTGAATTCTTTTAAGACGTCATCTTTGGTGTCCTTCAGTCACTATAGTGTATCAAAATGTGATTTTTTTTTTTATTATTCTGTTTGGGATTTGTTGCACTTTCTGAAACTGAGAGTGAATTTTTTTTTTTCATCAGCCTTGGAAAATTGTCAGCCATCATCTCATTTAATATTGCCTTTCCCCCATGTTCTCAGTCCTCACATTCTGGACCTCTAATTAGTTACTAGAAGAGAGGTGTCTCTTTTGTCCTCCATTTCTCTCACCCTCTTTTCATATTTTCAATTGCTTTTCTCTTTATGCCACCTTGTGGGTAATTTCTTCAGGTCCCTCTCCCATGTCACTAACTCTGTCTTCAGTTTATTTCAAATATCATTTTTTATTATTACTTTGAGTTCTATTTAATTACTTTTCAAATCTCCTCAATTTTTAAATAATTCTCAGTTCCTTAATCATATTTTAAATTGTTCTTTTATTATTCTTTATATATTTAAAATATTAAATATGGTTATAATATTCTATGTCTCATAAAATCCATGGATTTTGTCTTCTGATGCTGCTGTCTTTTGTTTCTGCTCTCTCATGGTGCCTTTTTTCTCTGTTTTGTGATTTTGTCTATAAACTTGAGTTTTTTAGAACTTGAACTGTAGGAATTCTTTGAGACCTTGAGTGAGTGCTGTATTCTCAGCATTTGCATTTCTTTTCCTTGAAGCACTATCAAGCTGGAATTACTTTAAATAAATTCTTGGCTTCATGTTTTTTGGAGCAGACAGATAGTATGAATATGAGCTGCAAATCCATGTAAGGGTCAGCTTATAGTTAGAAATTATCAGGGAGAGTTTTCTCTCCTTCTGCCTACTGAGACAAATTCCCCTTCTATAGAGTTGAATTTTTTTTCTTTTTTTGTTCACTTTTACAAAAAAGGGCAGCTCTTTGCAGCTCCTAAATTTATGCAGGGAATCTCCTGTCAGACCTTATACATTTTGTCCCTCATTTCCTATGCTTTCAGTGACTGTCATAACAGTATCAAGGGCACCATAGTGTCACGTTTCATTGAGACTTCAGTTTTCACTGTCTGGATTTCTGGTTTTGCATAACTTTTACCAGTGTGAATTTTGCCTTTACTTTCTCACCATCTCATCAATGGATTAAAAATATTCATAGTCAGATATATCTTTTAAGAGTATTTTTTCCGGCTGGGCACGGTGGCTCACGCCTATAATCCCAGCACTTTGGGAGGCCGAGGCGGGTGGATCACAAGGTCAAGAGATCGAGACCATCCTGGTCAACAAGGTGAAACCCCATCTCTACTAAAAATACAAAAATTAGCTGGGCATGGTGGCGTGCACCTGTAGTCCCAGCTACTCAGGAGGCTGAGGCAGGAGAATTGCTTGAACCCAGGAGGCAGGGGTTGCGGTGAGCTGAGATCGCACCATTGCATTCCAGCCTGGGTAACAAGAGCAAAACTCTGTCTCAAAAAAAAAAAAAAAAAGTATTTTTTCCTATCACTGGTTGTCATTTTACCAAAAAAAAAAAAAGAAAAAATATTTTTTTCCCCCCAGACAGTGGCTTCCCTATTTATTTTCTTAACCATCTTTATATGAGCAGAAGTTTTAAGTTTTTATGAGGTCCAGCTTATCCCTTTTTATTTTCTTTTACAGCTAGTGCTTTTTGTGTCCTAAGAAACCTTTGCTTTGAGGTTATAATTCATTGGATATATTTTTAATCCCAGCATTTTTAGTTGTCTTGGAATTGGAGAATTATTTAAGGGAGCTAGTCCTCAATGATGTCGTAAATAAAAGTCCTTCCTTGATTATTTAATTGCATATCTTATCTTATGCTACTAGAAACTCTTCTTTGGGTGAATATAACAAGTCCTTTCTTTCCTCATAGGTTCCAGGAGAAGGAAGACTCTTGACCTTTTTTGTGGGCAACTCAACAGTCCCTCCCTCCTTTTGGAAAGTGAAGGATTCTGGGTTCTTCAATGCCTTATCCATCCCGTCTGGTTGCAATGTTTTGCCCCCAGAAGAGAATCAGATCATCATGTGGGGATTATCATTGTTCCCAGAGTACTCTTGCCTTTAGTTGAATTTCCTTATTAAAGTTATATTTTTCCATAAGACCCTGACATATGTATGTTACTTATAATCTACCTTATTTCAAAAGGAATTTAAATGAGTTTACAGAGACACAGGAAAATGAAAAGGGGGAAAAATAAGGACAAAAAAGTAGAGTCAGAAATGAGGCTAATGTAAACAAAAAGCAATTATAAGTATTGCCACTCTACTTAAATCTATTTGGTTCCTGAATTTAGGGTAAGAAAAACTAGGAATTTGGGTAGTGAGACATTTCACAGAAATTTTAACCAGATCTCTTCAGCATATAAATTTGGACAACAAAAAATCTGATACCAGTAATACCACTAAGTGATCACTATAGGTGGATATTTTGTTACTATTGAGATAAATACAATATACAGTTGACTCTTGAACAACATGGGTTTGAACTACTTGAGTCTACTTATGTGGATTTTCTTCCACCTCTGATACCCATAAGATAGCAGCACATTTAAGCCCTCCTTTTCCTCCTCCTCAGCCTACTCAACATGAAAATGTGATCCACTTCTACTTAGTGAATAGTAAATATATTTTCTTTTCCTTATGATCTTCTTAATAATGTTTTCTCTAGCTTACTTGGCTGTAAGATTGCAGTATATAATGCTATACAAAACATGTTAATCAACCGTTTATGTTATTGGTAAGGCATCCAGTCAACAGTAGTTAAGTTTTGGGGGAGTCAAAGTTATATACGGATTTTCAGCTGTTCAAACGGTGAGCACCCCTTATCCCCACGTTGTTCAAGGATCAACTGTATAATAGATTCTTATATAGTAAGATAGAAAAAAGTAAAGTCACAAGCAATCCTACTCCACAGAGATAACCAAATTATACAGTGTATCTGTGCTTATACATATATATGTGGCTCTATATATGTGTGGTGCTATATATGTGTTTGGTTTTTCTTAATGGACTATACTAGATATGCTAAACTGTCTTGCTGTTTTCTGTTTGGACCAAAAACTTTCAAGGGGAACAAATACATACTCAGGTTCTGCATTCTTGGGCTTAAATGGCGACCAAGGGGTTACAGTAATAATTACCACATAATTGTGTGGCCCTTTATATATATTCAGAGCTCTCAAACATAGCTATCTTGTTTGACAGCAACCTGGAGAATGGGCAGGGCAGTCTTTCCCACTGTACATTTGAACTGTTGCAGCAGTTGACTTTCCTGACCCACTCCTGAAATCTGAAACAAACCTATTCACGTTTCTACCCTACTTTAAGCCTTTCTCTGGCCCATAACACTGACTGGATTAAGCCCAAGTTTCTTAGCAAAGTATTCAGGTCCTTGCATACAACCACTGCCTACCTGTCAAGCCTCATCTGGCAGTCCCTCAGATCCAAGCAGTACAAAACTCCATTTCCTGTAGTGCACACATCTACAACTTTGTAATCTGCTCTCTAAAACCTACTTGTCTGCCTTCCTGGTTCTTGTTTTACCACTTTCTTTTGCCCTCTTAAGAAATGTGCATATATCTTTATAAAATGGTCTATACTGTAATTTATGACCATTTCTCTGCTTCATCCTACTCATCACCCCAGAGAGAATGAGCATGTTGGCAGTAACTAAATTCAGATTTACAGATCAGACTTGGCATTTGTTAATGCCCCAATACTTCATATTTTTGTCAGTTTTCAGCTTGCCTATCTTTCCTACTAGACTGGGAGCTCAAAGTCAGGGTCTGAGCGTCTTACGCGCCTGCATCTTCAAGGCGTAGCACAGTGACTGGAAAAAAAAAAAAAAAAAAAAACACATTGAACGTGCACTAAACTGCCCTGCTCAAACACCTACAGGCACAGGGCGAGGGCTAGGACCCACATCGCTTGAGTCTTAAGTGTGTTTCCAACTGCTCCCAAGTTCCCTTTTCATTAGAGAAACCCAGACGAAACAACAAGGAAAGAGAAATAGGCCACGATAGGGTCTATATTGCTCCTCAAGTTTCCTCGCCCGTCCACTCACCCAGACAGGATAAATGGACTGCGGCGGGACTCAGCTTGGTGCACACACCCCGCCCTCGTCACACCCACTATGCAGCTTCTGGCCCGGCTGTACCCATCTGAGCGCCTCTCCTGCTTCCTCTAGGCTGTGCGAGCGCCAGCTGCCGTTGACTCTCGCTCCGCCCTCCACACCCGCAGTGATACCCCTTCCGCCAAATTTGTTTCTCTTTCTTGCAGCGCCTGCGCGGTGTCACGTTACGGCGGAACTAATCCAGCGACGCCTGCGCTTTGACGCATTTGGTGCCGGGGAAGGGAAAAAGGAGGACTGCAGAATGCGTCACACCCGGAAGCAGAGAGCCGGAAGTGGAGTTGGCCAGGCTATCCCGAGGGGTGGAGAAGCGGAGGCCCAGGAGGAGGGGGAAAAAAGAAGGTGGAGGCTCCTGGCTACCACTCTGAATCCGATACCGCTTCTCTTAGACCTCAGAGACAGAAAAAGGGAAGGGTGTCTCATCCTCCTTCCTCCTCTCATCCCTCTTCTGAGCCTTAGCCATGGCCGAGGCAGGGGCTGGGCTGAGCGAGACCGTCACTGAGACAACGGTTACCGTGACAACCGAGCCCGTGAGAAAGGCGGGGGGCGGTGCTGTTTAGGGGTCTGGGAGATACTGGGAGGGAGGGGACAGGGATGAGAAGAGTTGCTGGAGGAGCTGGGCCTGGGGATATGGGAGGTGTATGGTTGGATATCTGGGGCTGGGAGAATCGGAAGGTATTGGAGCTGTTTGGAGTGGCAGAGGTGGTGCAGGAGGCTGGTCAAGAGACATGTAATAGGGAGGTACAGTTAGGATATGGATGTATGCTGCATGGGTGGTCATGTGTATAAATAATGAACGAATGGGAAATTGAGGGTTAAGGAGCCAGGAAGATGTTGGGAGGAAATCAAAGGTAGTGTAAGATAACATGGTTGGAGGCCAACTTATCAATACTTATCATAAATATTTGTTGAATGGATGAATGTAAAAGGAAGTGACAGGAATGAGGAAACAAGAAAAGGAGATGAAAACAGGAATTTTGAGAAATCAGAGAGCAAAGATGTAAATGGAGAAAAAAGAAACATTTTTCCAAAAACATGTTAAGTTGCCTTCAAAGGGAGAAGGTTGCATTGGGCTTAATACTCTTGGATTAAAGGGAGTTTAGTAATTAATAGATTAGTAATACTCACTACTAGAGATGCCAGGATGCAAGGGAATAGGTGATTAAGAGGTAGAGAGGGCTGGAGCTTGAGAATGAGAGTCTTTTTTTTTTTTTTTTTTTTTTTTTTAATGGGAAACAGAATACAGGATCTGGAAAAAGGAAAGGAAATCAAAGATTAGGTGTTGGGGACTGAAAAATAATTTTCATGTATTAATACTACCAAGGATGATTTGGGGAGGAAGATGGAGAAACAGCAAGGATTATATTTTCCTTTGAAGAGTTGCTGGGACCTTCCCTAGGTTAGGAATTGAATTCTCTTATACTGGTGGTATAAGAACAGGAAATAATACTTATTCCTCAAGGGACTCCCTGAGGTCAAAGACCTGTTCTGTTTTATCTTGTCTCAGCTCCTCTGGTGCTATGTCTATGGAACTAAAGAAGAAAAGAGAATAAGTTCCCAGGGAGGGAGTGGGAAAGGTCAGTAGGAAGGAACTAGAGAGGTATGCCCATCCTTAACCTTCTAGGAGAACCGGAGCCTTACCATCAAACTTCGGAAACGGAAGCCAGAGAAAAAGGTGGAATGGACAAGTGACACTGTGGACAATGAACACATGGGCCGCCGCTCATCAAAATGTGAGTAATTGTTGGCCCACAGTAGCCCTGGAGTTCTGGCTCCCTTCGGCATATCTTGTATCTACTCGTGTCCACTGGCTTTCCAGAAGCCCCAAGATGCTTATAATTCTGTCACTTTTTTGGTGGTTCTCTGGTATCAGGGAAAAAGGTTAAGGGTTGAGGGAAAGAGGTAGGGAAGGGCTAGAATTGGAATTGCCTAGGTCTGCCGGCAAGAAGTATCAGAGGTGGCAGAAGTGGGGCTTTGACTTCTTGGTTCTCTAAGAAGACAAGTAGGCTGGGGCCTGAGTCCCAAGGGGTGGACCTGGGGGAGCTGGATCCTGGAAGATAGGAGGAAATAGAAATTTTCACTGAGATTGAGTTGAAATGGAACTGATTATACATCTTACCCTTCCTCTTTAACTGGGCTCCTCCCTCTAAATCCAGGCTGCTGTATTTATGAGAAACCTCGGGCCTTTGGTGAGAGCTCCACGGAAAGTGATGAGGAGGAAGAAGAGGGCTGTGGTCATACACACTGTGTACGTGGCCACCGCAAAGGACGGCGTCGTGCATCCCTGGGACCGACCCCCACCACCCCTCCCCAGCCTCCTGACCCTTCCCAGCCCCCACCAGGGCCAATGCAGCACTAAATTCCTCTCTCCCCCACCATTCCTGTGTCTGTCTGGCCCTGAATGTATCCATGTGGCTACTTCTCCAGCCCCTTCCTTCCCTCTCTTCTGCCTGATAGAGGGAAGAGGAAGAGAAGAGTGGACAGAGATCCTGGAATTCTGAGTTGCTGCTATTCCAGAACCCAGGCTCCTGGGTTCCCCTAGTCCTCATTTTTCCTCCCAATACTCACCCTTTTCTCTCGAGGGATCTAGGCACCCTGGTCCCAGTCTCTTCCTTCTGTTCTCACTGCCAAACTGCCTGTCCTGGGATCTAGTTATCCTGGCCCTACACTCTCAACTTGAGTAGTGAACACTTAAATTGGGTTTTCAACAATCCCAGCTTTCACTGCCAGGGTCCCTGTCAGATTCCAGGAATTCGCACCCTAGCTATGCTTGCTAATCCTGGTTTAGAGCTATCCCACTAAAATATTTAATCCAATTCTTAGTTCTCGCCTGTGAGATATGAGGTCTTACAGGAGACCTCAGGGCTCCCAGCCCTTCTCCTTTTGCTAACCCTCCTCATGCCCTCAAGAGGAGGTAGAAGAGAGGTCCTTGCCATTCTCACCTCTAATGGAAAATGGAAAGAGAAATAATCATATCCTTTCTTCCCACCCTTCTCCTGTGATTTAGGATTTCTGACAAAGCTGGCTTGAGATTGATCACTTAGAGCCAACTATCTACTCAGCCTTTTGTTTTTCACCTTCAGAGACAAATCCAATATAGTCCCAGGGACCTGGGGGGAAAGGGAGGGAACAAAGAGATGGGGGTATATCCCCTATACTACACTCTTACCTCTTACTTCCTAGGCTTTGATTTCTCTACCAGTCCAGATGTTCAGTTCTCTTGGCCCTCCCTACCCCTTACTGGGATCTGGTTTTCATTTTCCAGTCCTTCTTGCCATACACAATTGCAGAGATCAGTCAAATCCATACCACCACTGAGATCTCATTTATTGCCACAGATGCACAAAATAAATAACCCAAAATCACAAAATGTGTTAAATATGGGCCCATTTATACATACGGGGAAGGGCGTGAGACTATACACAGGATGAGTTTGGGGATGTCTGAAGTATTCCCAGGTTGAGGAGGGGAGAAGGGAAGTAGCACCTTTGGTTTCTTTCTGTATGTGTGCAGAGAAGTTTCAAGAAAGTTCTTATGGAAAAAAGGCTGTGAACATAGAAAGCAGTCACAGGAGGTTGGGGAACTAGCTTGTCCCTCCCCACCCCCTGATCCCCCAAAAGGGTTATGAAGCTTCCTAGAGGGTCACAGGGCCCAGACCAGGGTCAAGCCTCTTGTTTTAGGAGAAACCTCAGTGGACAGGCAGGGTAGCCCGGTCCTTAGATCTGTGGGGAAAGTCCTGAGCCCTTCTTTGGAGCTAAGAGAGGCAAGAGTGGGAGTTAAGTATTTGACTAGCAGAGCCTCTGTGTAGGAAACGCAGTCACTTTACCAGTACTGCTGCGGAGGGCCTGTTCCCCACTGCAGGCCTGGAATAGTATAGCAGGGGGAAGTCAGTCAGGAAGTACTGTAGTAGCTGTTGGGGAGAGAAGATCCTGAGAGCCAGGGAGCAGGAATGGATTTGGTTTTGAGCAGGGATGTGAAAACCTGGAGGCCAGCTGAGGTCTTATTATTTTGGGAGAAAAAAATGTGGGTTGGTATTAGTACTCCTACAATGGGCGTGTGAATGAGCTCCCTGAAATGAGAAGGGAATTCTACGCCCAAAAAGAAGCAGCCACAGGGCCAGTGGCCGGGCCAGACTTCTAGCTGGAGACGAGACTCAGCTTTCCGCTGGTACAATGCGGAGTAGGGCACGAGGGTCACGGGTGCAGAACAGCGGGAAGATGCGCTCCCCAAGGGGACCGGGCGCCTGGAAGGCGAAAAGCAGGTCCAGTGAGCGGCCGTCGTAGAAGGCCACGCGGCCCCGCTCCCAGTCCAAGTCCACGCGAATGCGCCGTGGCGGGGACTCGGCGCTGCCCAGCGGGGTGGGCTCGGGTGCCGTGAGGGCCCACAGGCGGCCGCCGCGGCCCTCCACTGCCCACACGGCCGCCGAAGGGCACAGCCTCACGCGGCCCTTGCGTTGCACGGATTCCCCGGCGGCGCCCACTGCATAGTGGCTCTCCCCGTCGTCCTCATCCTCCCCAGAAGAGTCTCTGCAGGAGGCTGCGTCCCCAGTCTCCACTTCCCAGCAGTGGCGGCCGGCCCCGAAGCCCTGCGCGCCCAGCACAGCCGGGAGCTGATCGAAGCGCGTGGGGGCATCAGGGGGCGAGGGCGTCCCTGGTGGAGCCAGTTGGACGCTGCGGCGGTCGGCGGAGATGAGCAAGCGACGGTGTGCGGTCCCAGGGTCCAGGGTCAGGTCGGCTGAAGAGGGGGAGGCAGGGAGAAGACCTCATGAGAGAGTTTTCTAAACCACAGGTGGGGTAGGGTGGAGAATAGTCGACGGAGAGCATGTAAAAGACTGAGTGCTAGTGACCCCACAACAGCCCAAAAGGACCTAAAAGAAGGAAGGCATATGAAGAGCAGGCCTGGGCAATATCGGACGTTGCTCCGATGCACCACTTCTGTAGAACGGAACTTGGGGAAGGATCATACCGGCCCAGGCCGGGGGAGCACATCAGGAAGATCAAAGGAGAGGATGTGGGGTTGGGGGAGGAAGAGTGAGGCTGATCTGACTTCAAGGGAGGAGTGAGGACTGATACCTCAATCTGCAGCATCTGGGGTGGAGCATGGGAGCTGGGTCAGCAAAATGGGCATGGCTCATTTAAAGAGAAAGGCATACTGATACTGGAACCTCAAGTGACAGGGAGGGGCACAGGGAGGAATCCAAGGTATCCTGAGGAACCAGACCACCCACCCACCGGAATAGGTGGGGGTGGACAGGCCTATTTCTATAGAGGGTGTGGGGAAGAGGCGGAGAGCAAGTGGTGACAGCCAGAGACCAGAAAGAAAGAACCATTGACCTTGTATGTATGGGGTGCTTTGAAGAAAGATTTCTGAATTAGGGGTACCAGAAGCAATCTGGACTAGGTGAGATGATGGATGACCAAGAGGGTGAACCATCTTCTCTAGGCATTTTAAAGAAGGATGGAGGGCACCCTTGTTCTTGGGAGTGAGTGAGGAAGGAAGGGTCAAGGAGATGCTGGGGTCCCTTTCCAGAGACGAGTGATGAGAGGTGGTGGAAGCAGATTTCCTGGGACACACCTAACCTTCAGGGAGCTGTTGTTTGACTGTATGAAAAAGGAAGAGGGAAAATGGCTGGAATATGAGGAATCGAGGATGGACATTGTTATAGGCTGAACTGTGCCCACCCCAACCCCCGCCCCCCCACACACACAAAGATAGGTTGAAGTCCCACAAACCTCAGAATGTGACCTTATTTAGAAACAGGATCTTTACAGAGGTAATCAAGTTAAAATGAGGGTCATTAGCATGGCCCCTAATCCAGATTGCTGACTTACAAAAAGAGAAAATTTGGGCACAGAGACAAATGCATACAAAAGAGAATGTGCAGACCTGTCACCCAAAGCACATGTGAGGCTACCAGAGGGGAGGAGAGAGGCAGGGAACAGATTCTGTCTCATGGCCTTCAGAAGGAACCAACACTGCCGACACCTTGATTTCAGACTTCTACCTCCTGAACTCTGAGATAAATGTCAGTGGTTTAAGCCACCTATTTTCTAGTACTTCATTACAGCAGTACCAGGAAACTAATGCAGACATCAAAAAGGACCTGATCTTTTTTAGGGCTATCAGGGAGAAAATCTAACGCAGACTCTCATTCAATTCCCCTCCCTCCCTTCCCTCCTTACCTGTCAGTCTATGAAGCATGTTTTTGACCACTGGGTAATCTTCAGGGAGATCATCCTCTGGATTAGGTGACTTGGGTGCTGGGACTTCCAGTCTAGACAGATGAGGGGAAGGGTCAGCAAATCAGCCCTCTGATGCTAATGCCCCCACACATACCTCACTCGAATCTCTGGAGGAAGAAGGGATGAGGCTGTACCCCCAGAAAACCTGCCTGTTAATGGGAACAAAAATGTGGGCCCAGTGGAAACATGATGGCTATGGTAGCTGCTAGTGAAAAGGAAAGAACAGTAAAAGCAGAACTCACCGTCTCCACGTCTTCCTCATATCCTAGGATGGGCAGAAACAAACATGGATGTGAGCTCTGGGCCTCATTCTGTGGGCATCCTTTCCTATTTTCCCGCCTCCCCAGGTGAGCTCTGTCTGAGTTGGCAGTGTCCCTCCTTACCTTTCAGGCTGATCTCGCCTCCTTAGCCTTTGTGTTCCTTTACCTCTCATTCTCCTCCTTCACCTTTCATGATCCCTCCTTCCTCTCACCCCATCACTTTTCCCTCATCCTCCTAACTCCATCCCCACTGTCTTCCCCATCTCCACTCCCCAAGAGTTCTCAGTTCTCCTTTCCCAGCCTCATCCATGCCTGTTTCTTATCCCTAGAGCCCTTGCCTTCCTCTGCTGCCTCCTCAGTCCCATCTCTGTCTCTTTCAGTGCCTCCATCCTTATCTGTCTTCCCCATTGCATCCCAGAAAAACATCTGTCCCTTCCACCCTCCGTCACACAGACCAAATACACACCCAGAGTCCTTGGGCTAAGAGTTGGTATATAAAAGCCTTACAATAAAGCTGCTTCCCCTCTTGCAGTAAAAGCCCAGTGACATTTATTGGGCCCTTTCCTTTGTGTCTCTGGACCCTGGCCAGGGAGGCAGCTGGGCTTGAGTGTGTCCCTAAAAGCCCAGCAGATCTGCAGAGTACTATGGGAGCCAGGAGAGGGCGCGGGATGCTCTCCTCCAAACACGGGGATGCAGACCCCTCCACTTCACTGTCCAGTGCTAATGGCTGGAGTAGGCCGGTAAGGTGGAGGGGGGAGAGAGAAACAATTTGCCTAATTGTGCCAGTTACACTCAGACTAATTAGGTCTATGAAGACTTCAAAGGGCAGAAGCAAGACCCAAGACCAGCTTGGCTGCTGGGGAGAAGCCAGTCAGGAATCTCAGACGCCCAGGGGTCGGGCAAGGGAATGGGGTTGGTTGGTGGCCAAGAAGCCGGGGCGCAGGAGAGGCGCGGGGTTAGGTGGGTGCTCAGACTGAGATGTGGAGAGGAGCCAGAGGCCGCAAGGACGGTTCTCCCGCACCTCGCCTCCACCCGTCGGCGCTCCTGCCTGGGGCCCTGGGAGGAGCCGAAATAACAATAACAAACAACACACAGCTTAGCCTGAGCCAGAGTCCGCGACCAACCCCCACGACGCTATAGGGGCTTTTGGATCTGCGCTGCGCTCCCCACTTCCTCCATCCTCTGATCAGTCCCCTCCTCTCCAGCTTTTTCTCCGCCACCCACCAACCGGCCCAACCTCCTGCTCCCCCTCCTCTAAGCAGATTCTGCCCTCGCCCACCATCCTCCCAGACCCCCGCTCGCCCTCACCTGGGTCGGCTCCCCGTTGCGCCCGCCGCTCCCTCCCCTCCGCCAGCTCTCCTCCTCCCGGGCGCCTGCAGCGGCCCTGTCAAAACTCCTGCAGTTCCCGCGCTCTTCGCGGCAACTCCAGGGCTCTCCGCGTTCTATCCAGTACCCCTTCTCTGCCTCCCCAATCTCTTCTCCCCAGCCCCTCTCACAAGGCTCAGGCATCCATCCAGCCTCCTCCCCTGTGAACCAAGTGTCAACTCCTCTTTCGTCCTTCCCGGCGCCTCGCACCTTGAGGAGCCAGGGTCAGACCTCGCCCCCTCATCCTTTGCTTTTCTCTCCCCACCCCATCCTTTGCCTAAACTTCCACAGGGGCTCCGGCTCCGGAGATGCCGTTCCCGGCTTTGCGGGGGAACCCAGGAACCTCTCCCTTACACCAACAACTCCGCACTCGCAACGCGCGCCCAGCCTCACCTCTCCGTACGGGTCCAGAGAGCCCATGGTGGGGATGCGCCCCCCTCGGCGTCTCCCCGCGAGGGCCCCAGGCTCAGCTAGCTTCTGTCGCAGCTCGCGGCTGATCCGCACCTCCACTGCCAGCCGCACATTAGACCTCAGGCTGCGGCGGGGACACGGCAGGCCGCAGCAGGGACAGGCGGTGGCGGAAGCCTCGGTGCCAGTCGCCGGCGGGGTCCCCCAGCGACGGGCCAGACACGCGCGGCAGAAGCTGTGCTCGCACGCCAGTAGCACCGGGTCCTCGAAGGGGCCCCCGCACAGAGGACACGTCGCCAGCTGCTCCAGACGCTCCACCAGCCCTGGGCCCAGCTCGGGCGCATCCATGGAAAGCCGGTATCTGGACGCCGCCCTTTCCGCGACCACCGCGACCGCCTTCGAGCGCGCAGATGGCGGGCCGCCCCTGCTGCTTGCTGTGTAGATGCCCTTCTCTCCGTCTCCCGCATTAACTTTTGCCACTTTCCGACCCTCTTCTGGGATTGCCTCTCTCCTCAACCAGTCTCAGTCTCGGCCAATCTCTCTGCCACATCAGGCTTTATAGGGAAGGAGGAGGCTCCTGCGGGAGGTAAACACCAGGTCTTGCGCAACGCCTCATCTGGTTCTCCCGCTTCCCGAGTAAGGTTTGGGGGAGGAGGGAGGGGAGAATAGTACACCTGGGTCCCCGAGCCTAGGAGGCTGCCACTAGAGGGCGCTCTGGGGACGGGGTAGCCCTGTAGGGGGAGGGTAGCCCCCTGTGACCCCCCAACGCAAGAGCCCCAATTTTACTTTATGCATGTGGTGCGCGCATGGGCCGGGAGCCCAGGCTCGCTCTTGGCATGTGCGCCCACATTGCCAAGGTGTGAGTCATTCCAGGTGGCTGGCACGCCTACCTCTGGGAGCTGGGGGCCGGAAGCACAGATCCTGGTTTGTGTGGCTTTGGCAAGCCTCTGAGTGTTGATGTGTGGTTGTCATTCCCGGTGCCTCTCGCCTTTCCGTCTTCCTTCCTTACCTATTAAGGGCTTAAGGGCACTCTGAAGCTCTAGGGTAAGGGGTGGGGAGCAGGCGCCCACACTTGGCCCCGGAGTCAGAGCAGAGCTCTCACCGCTCTACGTCTGGCCAGCTCCCAGGGGCTCTCCTTACTTTCTTCCTGGGTCTCTCTTTCTGATCCTTTCTCTCTATTTTTCCCTGTGTGTGTTTTTATTGTCATTTTTATCTTTCCCTCCTTCTTTGGAATGTACCCGGTATTCTGTTTCCACTTTGGTAGTTCACTGAGGCTCAAGGAGCTGGAATAGCTGAGGTCACATAGCAAGGGAGTGACCAGAAGTGGAGCCTACCCCTGTCATCTTCTGACTTGTGCTCTTGCTGTGACTCAACCCTACCTTTTTCGCTGGCAGATCCCTGGGACTCCCTCCTGCTTCCTGATTTTTTTTCTGATGTTCCTTTGTGCCTTCATTCCTCACTTCCATCTCTGTCTTTTTCGCCTTACCTGCTCCTCTCCCCACCTATCCTCTTCCTCTCTGCTCCTGTCTCTTCCTAGCTTCTCTACCCTTTCAGTGCCAGATCTAGCTGACTGGATACTCATGGGGTTTGTGCATAAGCAAACATCAGATGTCTACAACTATGATCACCCACAGTTATATAACATGTGTCTGCATCCATCAATGTCCAAATGCTCAAATGTGCATAAAACTGCAGATGAAAGCACTCATGTAATACAAACACCACAGATATATATCCTGTGTATGAATAGCCTCATACACACCAAATATCACTGGGATAAATGTCCAGTGTTATTTAGGAACAGATGGACATGCTCAAAGACAGACATGCTCAAAGATGGACATGCTCATTAGATGGACATGCTCAAAGGAAACAGGCAAAGAGGCAGATACTATCATTAGTTTTGTTATTAATAAGAACAACAGTATAACAGCAGTAAGTCTTTATGGAGCAGCAGGACTTCATTAGACACCCCCACCAGGCACCCCTCTTCTTCCTCCCTCATACTTATCAGGGAGACACTCAAATATGACACCCCGATAAACAAACCTGCACAAACAAATACAAGTACATTCATCTTGGAACAGCCTTCCAGCTCAGTGCTCAGAAAACACACAGATACCCAAGCATAAGACTACAGTTATGACTGAAATCTATTTTGTAAGAGGAATAATGGTCCCCCAAAGTTGTCTGCATCCTAATTCCTGGAACCTGTGAATATGTTACCTTACTTGGAAAAGGAGAATTAAGGGCGCCGGTGGAATTAAGATTGCTAAACAGTTGAGTTTAGAGTAAGGAGTTTATTCCAGATTATCCACATGGATCCAATGTAATAACAACTGTCCTTAAAAGTGGAGGACCAAGGCTGATGAGGAGAACCAGAGAGATAGCAGCATGAGAAGTGATGGACCTGACATGGCTGGCTTTGGAGACAGAGGCAGGAAGCCATAAGCTAAGGAAGTGGGTGGCCTCTGGAAGCTGCAAAAGATGAGGGAATGGAGTCTCCAGCAGACCATTCAGAAGGAACCAAGCACTGCTGACACCTTGATTTTTGCCCAGTAAAACTTATTTCATGCTCTGAACTACAGAATAGTAAAGTAACAGATGTGTATTGTGTCAAGCCCCTATGTTTCTGGTAATTTGTTACAGTATCATTAGGAAACTAATAGGCAAGTTTGCCTTTTCTCCTCCAGTCTCTGGCTCTCTGTGTCTATTCGCACTCTCTTGTTGCACCTTCCAATTTGTCACATTTTCTGGATTCTCTGCCTCTCTTGACCTTCTTGTGGGTCTCCTGTTATCTCTTTTCCTTTGGATTACTTCATTGTCCTGGCTTATCCCCGACTCCAAAGCCTCTCAAGACCTTTTTGGATCTGGGCTTGAAGTACTGGAGAAATGTCTCTGAGTCTCCTCAAGAGTCTCAATTGTCACCAACCCAGGTGCCTTGCCATGGCCCTCATGAGCTTGTCAGTGCTTAACAGCTTCATTTGCACATTAGAATCATCTGCGGGCCAGGCACGGTGGCTCACGCCTGTAATCCCAGCACTTTGGGAGGCCTAGGCGGGTGGATCACGAGGTCAAGAGATCGAGACCATCCTGGTCAACAGGGTGAAACCCCGTCTCTACTAAAAATACAAAAAATTAGCTGGGCATGGTGGCGCGTGCCTGTAGTCCCGACTACTCGGGAGGCTGAGGCAGGAGAATTGCCTGAACCCAGGAGGCGGAGGTTGCGGTGAGCCAAGATCGCGCCATTGCACTCCAGCCTGGGTAACAAGAGCAAAACTTCATCTCAAAAAAAAAAAAAAAAAAAAAAAAAAAGAATCATCTGGGAAACTTTAAAATTCCTGATGCACAAGTGACACCTCAGACCAATTAAACGGACACTCCAGGGATGGGTCCCAGATGTCAGGACTTTTAAAAGCTTTCCAGGTGATTTCAGTGTTTAGCTAACAGGGAAACCATGGCCTTGAATGATAGGTGTACATGGCCTTGAATGATAGCTGTCACTCCATTTTGTTCCTTATGCTCTGCTGCAACGCCTTCGATTTGTTGTTCCCTGAGCATGCCGCTGCTGGTGCGGCTGTGGCACCTTTGCACTTGCTGCCCCCTCTGCTTGGGCCTCTGCTTTTCAGAGCTTCACATGGCTTACCCATTTTCTCACTCATGTCTCAATCCAAAGGTAACATTTAGAGAGGACTTCTTTTACCACATGTATCTCAAGTGGTCTTTCTCAAAGGCATTCACTATCTCTGTACCCAGATTTAGTATCTTCCTCGTATTTATTACTATCTGCAGTAATCTACTTACCAACTTTTCATCTGTCTCTATCCAACAGAACTAACCTTCATGTTTGCTGCTGCTTTCCCTGCACCTAGAACAGCACCTGGCACCCAGTGAGTCTCAATAAACTTAGGCCAGTTGTTGAATTGCTCATTACTGATTGGACAATGTGAGAGGGTCATTTGATTGACTCTGCTTAGACCTTCAGATCCTTCTCAATCAATAGTCATGCCTCACTGACATATGCCAGGCACAGTGCTGGGAAACGCTCATGTGATATGAGACATATGGTACTCAGTCTGGCTGGGAAGCTCGTGACTAGTTGTCGTTTGCCTTCCATAACCAGATGATGAGGATTCCTGCTAACAAAGGATCAGCTCCGCCTTTACGTCCTGGCTACAATGAGTTCATACCTAATGGTTCCAGGACACCGGTAAGGGAAAAGGCATTTGGAGACAGACTCTGCCAGGGAACATCTCACTTCTCAATAACTTCTCCCTCCCTTTCCATAATCCCTAACAACTCTAAACTTGATCCCCTAATTACCTTCCAAGTTCGTTCTATTTCCAGAGAGCTGGAAGGGCGGGTGTGATTTTATGTGTGTCGGCTTGGCTTTGCTTGCTCCAGCTGATCATGATGGGATCCTGTCTCTCTGCTAGGATCCACATCTTCCTTCCTTAATGTAGGTGCCTCCCCAATGACTGTTCCCACCTCTTTCCAACTCCTTCCAGGATTCCTACTTGTGGTGTTGTGGAGTGTGACAGCTTGGTACCCGTGCATGGCACTAGGGAATGTTAGAGGTGGGGGAGGTCTTGACCCATCCCTTTCTTTTCTTCTCTTCCTCTTCTTTCTTCGCTCCTTTTATTTATCCTTCGTTGTGTCTCCTCCATATTAGTAACATCCTCATGCTTTTCAAAACCCTGCAAGTTTTTAGAATCTTCAAGAGGGAGAGAGAAGTATGAAGAGGTGTTTGGGAAACTAATGAGAGGACAGTCATGGTCCCTGCCCTTAGGAAGTGTAATAAGGCAGGTAAAGTGTACCCATTCATCAACAAAATTTACCACTAACGAATTAGGGCGTGTAATACGGCAGATAAGGTGTATCCATCATCAACTTAAATCTGTCATTACCAGATTATAAAGGTGCAGTGAGGGGGGAAGAGTGAGTGAGGATTCTGTTGACATATTGAAGGACAAGTGGAAATGATTTCAGGAAGTCTTCCAGGAGGAAGTGACCTATGAATGAAACGAAGGTTGTCTTGAGTGGAAGAGAAGTGAAAAGACCTGAGCAAAGAATGTGAAGCACCTCTGGGAAGAAAACTGGATTGGGAAAAGAAGGCCTTGGAAGTAAGAAATCCGGATGAAAGAGATCAGAATTTTTCTCAGTTCACACTCACTATGCTTCCCAAAGATTTTCTTCAATCTTGATTGTTTCTATAATGACTCATTTTTTTTAAGGACTTGGATGTTTACAATGTGCTTTCACAGAACTGGAAATTCTATTAGAGCAGAGAAGTTTTCCTATGCAACTACTCCAAGGACACTGAGTAAAACTTGCCCTGATGGGAAGGCAGTTTTAGGAGGGGTGGCTTGAGGCAGAGATAGAGGAAGAAGATCCAGCCAGATTAATCCAATTAATCCTGACACTCAAATACATGACTACGATGTAGAAATGTCACCCTCATCGTCCATTCTCTCATTTAACCCTGTAACAGCTGTGAGACCGAGTCCCGCCATGTTACAGTGAGCCCCCTGGGATTCTGGCATGGTAAGGAATTTGACGAGGCTCAAACAGCATGGCAAGAGCCAGGATTGAAATTCAAACCTCCTGGCTCCAAAGCCTGTAGTATTCTTTTCCTTAAATATTAATGTCTTTCATTTGAGACTTACTTTCTCTTTTCTGTCCCTCCTGGAAGCCTCCTTCCTTTCTCTTCTTTTAAATCTCTGCTCAGGGCTAACAGATTCTCTGAAATGTTGCCCATCCTTCAAGTTCATCCTAGGTGCTCACTTGTCTCTTTCCTTCTAACAACCTAC